TGTCTTTTGAATCGACATGGAAGTTAAGTATTAATTAATTTGAGAAGGACAAATATTGAAGTTACTGCTTAGGTGGTTGTCAAAAGCAGGCTTTATAACTACTAGCTCTTACTCTGTCTGACATTCTACTGAAATTGGCTCAAGCGGTTGGATGGGTCATAAGAGCTTCAGCTGGGTTTGCGTAGTACGTTTGGCCTCTGGCCCTTGATGATACTTTATAAAGCAAGCATGGTGCATATGGTTTGGGTTGGGACGAGACAATTAAATTATAGTGGTAGGTTACTTTCTAACTGTGAATTTTCATTTAAAAATAGAAACACAAAGAACGCGCTAATTGAATTTGCTTGGGGAAATTACAATAAGCAAGTCTAATGCCATCACCTACCATGTCCTGACAGGGCAGCTATGAATTAAATTGCTTCACTATATGTAATGGCCAAAGTTATGGCCAACTTCCCCAAGCAGCAATCCCTTGTCTCTCATACAATCCTCAAAACCATTGGCTAAAAAAAGAGTCACATTCTCTCTCTCTCTCTCATTATGGGGCTTTTGAAAGTTTGGGTCACCATTCTCATGACCCCTTGTGCAAATTTCTTGGGGAGGAAATGGAATCTTCTAGACCTTGTGACAGCTGGTATGTTCTTGAGTGTGCATTGCCTGGCTTTGTTTGCACCGTTTTACTTCACTTGGACTGCGTTTTGGGTGGCCTTTTGGCTGGCCTTTGTGACCGGTTTTGGAATCACTCTTTCTTACCATAGAAATCTTGCTCATAGAAGTTTTAGGGTTCCAAAATTGCTTGAGTACTTGTTTGCCTACTGTGGGGTTCTCGCGCTTGAGGTATGTCAAATCTCATTTTTGAGCAACATTTTGCAAGTTTTGTTGTTTATGTTCTTTCTTTTTTTGGTCTACTTTTACGATTTTCTGTTGTTGTTTTGGGTTTGCAGGGCAGTCCAATTGAATGGGTGAGCACACACCGATACCACCACCAGTTTACTGATACAGAAAAAGATGCTCACAGCCCACTTAAGGGTTTCTGGTATAGTCATATGGGTTGGATCCTTGATAGCAGTTCTCGGTTTGGAAGAGTAATTAAAAACAACCTCTCTCTCTCTCTCTCTCTCTCTCTCTCTCTCTCTCTCTCTCAAGTAATAGTTACACTTTTTTCTTTTGGTACAAATGCTTACACTTAATTTTGTTTTTTTTAATGAGAAATTTGCAGTATGGAGGACTAAAGAATGTTGAAGACTTGAAAAGGCAGCCATTTTATGTGTTTCTTCATCATACTTTCATGCTTCACTCATTTATTCTTGCGGGCATATTATATGCCGTGGGTGGACTTCCCTTCTTGGTTTGGGGAGTGGTGAGTATATAGATTTTCCTCTTTTTCTTTTCTAATAAATTGATCTTAAACATTTCAAACCAGAAAAGTTGTGTCTGAAACTCTCCCATTCTTATTACTAGAATTATAAGCACAAATATAAATACGAATGCTTTTTTATTCTTTTTTTTTTTTTTGTTTATTTTTTTCTAATTACTTCTAGCACATATCCTTGAGTTTAAACTCATTATCATTTGCAGGGCGTGAGAATGGTAGTTGTTTTCCACAGTACTTTGTTTGTAAATTCTGCTGGCCACACCTGGGGATATCAGGCATGGAACACCGGGGATCTGTCTAAGAACCTTTGGTACTTATATTACTTAATACTCTCCCTTCTACTATGTATTTCATATATAATTGAGAAATGAAAGTTGCAATTTCCAGGTGGTTGGGATTTCTTGCACTTGGAGAAGGCTGGCACAATAATCACCATGCCTTCGAATACTCAGCTCGACAAGGCCTGGAATGGTGGCAAATTGACTTGACTTGGTATATCATAAAATTTCTTGAAGCTCTAGGACTGGCAACAGATGTCAAAGTACCATCCGAGGCTCACAGGCAACGGATGGCTTTAAAGACAGAGTAAATCCATGGCTGCTCAAGATCAGGGTTTCGACATTTAGCTAGGCATGGGATGTCTAGTTTCAAACTCTATTTGCTGTTTTAAGGTGATAATTATATTGTTTATGCATGTTGTGGACCTTATTATTGTTGAGAATTAATGGATTCTATTCTTGTGTTGGCAATTAATGCTTTATTTTTAACCAGGCATTTATAACAAACTTGAGGGGTTTTGTTTCATGACCTTGGGTAGTTGAAATACTTAAAAATAGAAGTTGATCTTTGATTTGTAATAAAAGGATTAAACTTTTTTTTAGAACAATAAAAGGGGAGAGGGGTCAGGGAGGGGGCTGGGTGTTTTGCCGCGGGTAAGGGTCGGGGTTTTGGGGTGGTTCGGTAGTTGGGGAGTGAAAATAGAAAAAAAGAGGGACCATTTGCAGAGAGAGAGAGAGAGAGACCGTTTCTCAGGACCATTTGCTGTAACTATGCCAAATATATGCTCTTCAAGCAATTAGTGATAGGGTTGTCGGCTGCTCCTGTATTCTAGATCTAGGGTTTCTTTGTTTAATATTTTATGGGTTTCTGCTGTTTATTTGCTTTTCTATCCTTGGGCCTGTTTTATTTGTTGGTATTGGGCTGCATTGGAAATGAGTTTCCTCAATTTGTAATGCTTTCCACTATTAATGAATAGTATTCCCTGACCAAAAAAAAAAAAAAAGCAATTAGTGATATTTCTCCCTCTTTTTTTTTTTTTAAAGAGCTTGAAGTTATAATTCTCCTCTTCATAATAAAATAATAATAATAATAAATAAGGTTAAATACTTTTTTGGTCATTGGGTATTACATGAAAATTCAATTTGGTCACTTAGAATTTTTTTAGCCAAATTGGTCATTGTCTTTCTCACAATTTATAAACATTCAATTATCTTCCATTAAGTGTAGTTTTATTTTTAATTTTAAGAAGCACGTTGAGTCTTCTTTCTCTCTAACTCAACAAGTTAGGGTATATATTATGTTATTAATGTTTAATAAATTGTGGGAAATCTTGCATTGAAATTGAAATTATGAGGTATAAGGTTACGAATTGGATGCTATATTGAAGTCTGAATCAATTCAATGAGAACCCTATTGTGACTTCTTGTTTGGGTCTAATTTATACGAGCTAGCCCATTTTTGTTCACCACCTTAAACCTAGGTGTACCCTCACCACCCCTCCTAAAAGTTGACATATGTCCATGGGTTTAATTATGATTAATTATTTATTATTTATTTATTTGATAACATTATTATGAGAGAGAAACAATACTTCAATAAGATTTTTCCTGATTTACCCTTATTAACCTAGCAAACTTTCCACTTTTCTAAATTAATTAACAACTACTCAAATAAATAATTGGCAATTGGCGTGATAGTCAAGAATCCTAGGAGTCATGGAAGCTCTCCATAGCAACTCCGTATCGTTCATGTTGTGAAAAACCTTTGGCGGCTTTATGTATTTCTTTAATCCTCGTATGTGAGGTTGGGTTGTGTGGCTCATATTGGAAGTTGAGGCTGTTACATTTGGTATTAGTAGTTGCGAATTGGCAATTGGCAATTGGCGTGCTTTAGTATGAATATCAATTCACAGGCTTCAATACTTCGAAGAACACACCCAAATTCATTGAATCTCAATTGTCTTTAGTTAACTCCTTTTATCCACACCCAAAAATTACATTGCTCTTCAATTGCAGGCTTCCTCCATTTGTTCAAGTGAAAGATAGGTCACATCTATGCTGCTTTTTTTTTTTGGTACTCTGTATTGCTTGATTATTTTTTATATTTTGGTGATTGCTCTGCATTATTTAGTACAATATTATAATTTGGCCATAACAAATTTGAATAACACCATAAAACATAGTTTCAACGGCAAATTATGATAATTTTATATAAATCCGAAAGGTTTTCTTAAAATAAAATACTCCGAAGGAAAATCATAGAGGTAGTTATGTCATGCATTATGTCCTGGCATTGGACGGATGAAAAAGAACAATTCACGTTGTTCCTACTATCTTTTTCTACACTGCAAAAACTTGGTCTAAGATATTGATAAGCTGGTCCTTCAGGTCTTAGTTGAATGCTTTCCTATAAATTAATCAAACAATGAAAAATAATACTAATAAAACTTAAAACAAACAAAAATATATAACTATATGTGTAGTGAATTCAATAAATTAAGATAACAAACCTGTGGATGTATAAGTGAGTAATTGGACAACAATGAATGTATAGCTTGGTATCCAAGTGGGTGATTTGGAATCCCTTGAACACTAGAAACAGTTGGAAATCCATACTGAAAATCTGCGACTTTGCATACAGATGCCATATTGAAATGATTTTGAGTTGACATTCCAATCGATTCCTAAATATTAAATTCCAATCAATACATAAAAAATATACTTTGAGAATGCCAATGTTTAAAAAGTTACAAATATTCTATACCCGAACATGTGTATATAAATTTGAGTGTCCGCTCATCTCACGTGCGGATAAATTAATTTCCTTAGACGCTGTAAAACAATTAAACGATAATTATATTGACATAAAGTAAATAATAAACAAAAAAAGTTGATCAACTAACTACTAAGAGCATCCACAATGGGCTCCCTAAACAACTTCCTTAGACAAATTTTAGGGAGTAATCGTAAAAATGCAACTCCAACCACGCTTCCTATTGACCTCCTAAAATAGGGAGTCCTCTATGAGCTCCTAAATCTGAGGAGAGATAAATGACTCATAGTGGCTCCCTATAATTTAATGCTGCTTTATTTAATGAGTATTTCAAACCTGTATTTAATGTTAACTATATTTTATTTTATTTTTTAATAGAGATGGACCAATCAAAAAAGAGTTATAGCATTTATGACTCTCCAAATTAGGGAGTATGATTGGAGTTAAAAAAATTTTAGAGAGCTCCTAAAATAGCTTTCTTATATTCTTAGCCAAATTTTAGTTAAGAAATAGAGAGCATCATTGTGGATGAACCTTTAGATGAACCTTTAGAGAGCCAAATTTTCTTATATTCTTAGCCAAATTTTCTTTTAGATGAACCTTTCTTTTTCGATGGCTTTGATTCCAATGAACTCTTAATTCTACCTTTTCCTCTACCTTTGGACTTTTGAATCTTTGGATCTCGCAATTTAAGATCATCCTCATCTTCACTGACATGCTTATCAATAATTTCATCGTGTTCGTCTCCAAAGTATGGATGTTTTTCTAATTTTGCCTCTAACTGTAACAATTCAGACTTCAAAAAAGTGCATGTTTGGTTGTTCCTTGCACCCTTTGCTATGATTCTTTGTACTATATGAGATAACTCGCTATACTGAACCGTGAAAGATGACTCTAGAGTACTCAAAGCTACTTCCCCATTGGAATCAAAGTCAACATCACATGTAGCTTCCTTGCTCCATCTCTTTAAATAATAATTAGATGGTAGAGTTGAAAACTCTAATTCATGGTATAATTTTAGTGCATGTGCACAAAGAATCCCCTCAAATTCAAACTTTTTACAGCTGCTACTAACCGTTTGATCAGAAAGGTCATATGTAAGTGATTTGCTCATTCCTCTCATTCCAGATTTCATAACCATATATCTACATGTTAGCCCATCATCACTTTGTAATTTCAGCCTCAAACCTAAAAGTTTTTTACACTCATCTTGGAAACAATAGAACAACTTACTTGTATACTTCGTTGTTGGTTCAATCTCCACATTCGAATTAGAGGATAAATTGGGCCATTTTTGTTTAGTTGCATTTTCTGCTTGCCTTTCCTTTTCTCTTCGGTCCACTACGCTTTGTCATATTGTACAACAAATTCTCGAAGAAGAAGGTTTCGAGGAAAAAAAACTTTTTCAAAAATGCATTTATGCTTTCACTTCTTTGTGTTGTTGTCATACCTAGAAAAAAATTTAACATGAATTAATCATATTTCACAAAATAAGAACTTAAAAGAATAGGATTTCTATGTTTTTATACCTGCACAAAAGTGGTCTCGCCCATAAACTTGTGCCCATTTTGTAAGAATATTTTATAAATATTCTATGTGGCCCACATGAAGTGATCTATGTGGTAAATAAAGTGTTTAATTGGTTTAATAAATATTATTCAGAATAATTATATTGGTCAAATAAAGAGAAGTGGTTTCCTATTTTATTACTGTGATGGGTGGTAATTGATTATGGGCTTGACTAGGAAACGGGTCCTCTCTCTGCCTATAATAGTGCACATACCCATCTTATGTGTACACTAATGAAAAACACGTATTAGGGTTTTTTCGATTCTAACGTGCAAAAGGCTAGAGAGAGAAACACCGCTTCCTCTATACAACGGCTCACAACAGTCCTGATATTTTTCTTTGCTTGAAGTCATGGATCAAGGTACGCATATTACTTATTGAGTTTCCGCCTGAAGTTATTGTGATAGTCATGAGGTTCATGATTCTGTAAGTTATTGGGTTTTATGTTTTCACTCAATATTTAAAGTTTACACATTTCTCACGCAGTGCGTATATTCCTTCTAGCCAACTATTTCCTCACAATCCATAATCATCAAGTAAACCTTCCCAACTTGATTCAAATTCTTCAACAATCTCTGGATCATATACACAACTTTTAAAATCTTTTGCGAATGCTTGAAATTCAGAAAAAAAAACATGACCCAAGTTCTTTGCAGCATTCTGATATATATGCCACAAGCAAAGTCGATGATGGCAATTAGGAAAAACTTGGATGATTGCAGCAGCAATTGATTGAGCTTGATCTGTAAATATGGTTTTTGGTTCTTTTCCTTCATTAGCTTGTAAGAAGACCTTAAACAACCACTCACATGGATCAGTACTCTTTCCATCTAGCAAACCACATGCAAAAAGTATGGTCTGCCCATGATTATTAAGCCAATGATCGGAGCACACACCATGTTGTAGTTGTTCGTTTTGAATGTCGTATCAAAACACAGAACATCACCAAATATAGCATAATCACGTCTTGCTTTTCCATCACACAAAAAAACAACCACATATTTCATTCTCCATGTTTGTTCAAATAGAATAAAAGAATTACTTATCTTGAGCTTGCTTTTGCTTGAAATATTCAAGCAAACATTGCGAGTCGCCTCTTTTTTGAAATTCAGTGTACTTTCTCATAATCAAATTGTTGCAATCAGCTTGAATGAAATTTAAATGTTGAGGCCCTCCTGCTTCTGTTGTCATGTATGAGAAAATTTGAGATGACTTTAGACCTGCATGATGCATTTGATTGATGAATCCTGCTTGAGAAGGCTCTATTGTTCTTTGTGACCTTAGCAAATGTGAACTTGATAATGGAACAAGATCATGATTATGTTCAGCTACGAAGTTTTTCACAACATATTTTCCATCTCGATTAAGTTTGATCCCAAGCATTGCCTTACATCCGAATCTTCTTTGCTCTCTTTTCTTCTTTGGAGTTGTCTTTTTTCTATAGAAGCCTTCACAAGAACAACAAAATTCTCTTTTATGTATTACACCATTCTTGTCCTTATTTACTCTTAGTTTTCTCACACTAAATCCAACACATCTAGCATATGAATTGTAATATTGATATGCCTCCTGTTCATTATCAAAACTTATGCCAAGTGTTGGACTGTCACCAAATTTTCTTGTGAGCTCTTCAATTTGCTCATTATGATACAAGAGATCAAGACTTTCAGAATCAGAATCTAGGTGTATACAATCAATAGATTCTTTACCATCATTGGAATATGTAGCATGAAATTCATCCTCTTCATGGTCCATGAGGACACTAGCAGTATATGCCTACATCCATAAAGAATTTATAAATAAAAAAATAATAATAAAAATAAAAAGTTGAAGCCATTGGAACCTTTCGTTTAATTTTGGATACTGGGCATAATTTAGATTTATTTCAAACACTTTATGTTCCTAATTTTTCCAGAAACTTGATTTCAATTTCTAGACTTGACCGTGATGGATTTTCCTTTAAGTTTGGTAATGGATGTTTCAGTTTATTTAAGAATACCTCCTTTGTTGGTTCTGGTATTTTAATTGATGGGTTATACAAGTTAAAGCTTGATAATATTTTTACTGAAACAGTTTTGACTCTGCATCATAATGTTGGGACTAAACGTAGCCTAATTGATGAAAATTCATCCTTCTTGTGGCATAAACGACTGGGTCATATATCCAGAGAAAGGTTGGAAAGATTAGTAAAGAATGAGGTTCTCCCGAACCTAGATTTTACTGATCTTGGTGTGTGTGTGGATTG